TTCAGCTGTTGAACTCACATAAAAAGACTTCCTCTATTAACCTCTGGAGCGACCCCAATTTCAAATGCGAAGCCAAGGAAGAAATCTATAGAACGCCGGGCTATGGCCGTTTGAAGATAGCAAGACTGGTCCCTAAAGACGGCTGATCTCGGCCTCTGTAACCCTCGGACTTGATTTCTTAACACGAGAACTGTCTGGGAATTGTTCGAGCCCGTTTGTCTGAGGACAGGAGAGAAAGCCAGATTTATAGATCTGGCTTCTAGTGGCACACTTGTCATATCTGGCCTGGCCCAGTCTATAAATCTTGCTGTGTTGGTTGTCTGGTTCTCTTTCTTCCACGACCGATCGTCTCAATTCTGGCTAAACTGTTTCCGTTTCACCACTCGCTGGCGTTCATTATTCTGTCTTCTGCTGTCCCGTCTGTCTGTCTATCTTATTTGTTTTTTCGTCTCTCTCTCATTCCTTTCTTTCTCTCCCCCCTCTCTCTCTCTCTCTCTCTCTCTCTCTCTCTCTCTCTCTCGCTCTTTCCTCACTGTAATTTTATCTCCTCATCTCAGTGCAGTTTTGTTTTCTCGTCCTATTATGTATCCTCTTATCTTCACACACGACCACTTGTTCAAAATGTATATCTAATGCTCTTTGAATAATTTCATCTATCCCTCCATTTAATCGGCTCCTCTTATTCTCACTACCATATGTCATTACGGCCTGTGTTACCACATTTGCGGTGTAGGTGGGAAGGGGGAGGGGGGTCTTTGAGCCTGAAGATTTAGGACTGCGTGGCTGGCGCTGTCGCCACAAATTGTGCTGGTTAGAATTTTATTTTTTGCCCCTGATAGAAGAAAATAAAAGACCATTCGAATCTGGGTCAATCGCATGAGAGGCCGGTATTTTGTTCCGTTCCGCCTCGCAGTGTGGGTTCTGGGCGTCCATTGTGGGGGGAAAACAAAAATAGACACACTACCTCCCTTTCAAGCATGTCGTAGGAGTAGACTAATTGGGAGCCTCTTTTTATCTCTCTCAACCCCGTCTCTGTTGTCACTGTCAAATCTTTCTCTTTTTCCCACTCTCACCACATTTTTCTGAGCCTAGGTACACCCCCTCCACCCCTCCCATAACTCTCTCTTTCTGTCCCTCTCTCTCTGTCCCCACTCCTTTCTCTGTCCCCCCTTCTCTCTCTCCCTCTCTCTCTCTCTCTCTCTCTCTCTCTCTCTCTCTCTCTCTGTCCCTCCCTCGCTTATTGAACACAGGAGTCGCAACTGTTTGAGTCACACACAAGAAGATGTATGTTCAACCAGTCACCTTTGTCCCGCAAGTTTCTTTTGTGAGCGCCATACTGGCATACATTATGCAAATAGGCCCGGGTAATATGACACTCTGGTCCGGCCCGGGAATGTGGGCCAAGCTAATATATGCGGTGCTAATCGCTGGGGAGGCGACCCCGACAAGGTGGCTCTTGGTATGTGCTGCTGCTGTCTGTGCGTGGGTGGGGAGAGTTTCTGCTTCCCACACGTTCCTGGTTGACACATTCTTTGAGATTGTCCTCTTCTTCGTTCGTGTTCACCAGCTGTAAACTCTGGCGGAAAGTTCTGGTTGTGTATCCACTTTAGGACTGCAGTCCTGTTCCAAAACCCGAGTGTTGCGTGTGCCTCTGTTTTGACAGATCTGACTCATGTGTATGCAGACTGCTGGTTCCTTGCTTTTCGGGCAGATGTACTCCGACGTCGAAGGAAGCTCCCAATTAGTCGATTCTTACGACATGCTTTTGAGTTAGCAGCGGGCTTGTTTTGCATATAATAGGGCCCCTGAACCCACACAGGGATCTTTGAGATTGTGTCACATAAACTACTGCTACTATCTTTACACAAGACAAAAAACCAGCGTTACTACCTCCGTCTCCCCCCCCCCCCCCTCCCCTTTCCATCTGCTCGTGTTGCCTGCCCGGGTGTCCCCCTTCCCAAGAAGAAACTGAAATGCTCAGATCCACAATAGCCCAAAAAAAACTCTGAATAGGCCCGAATTTAATGGCAGTTGACACAGATGGCCCTAGCAATCTACAATCAACTCGTATCTTCTGGGAATTTCCTGTGCGGACATTATCAAAGCTAATGTCTTCACTTTCGTTGTATATTAGCCTGGTAAAAAATACTTTAGCTATTTTTGTGATTGTTTCCCCAATCGTGTTAATAATTATAACAACATTTATGGAAGCCTGGTATTTTCTACATACGTCGACCGCAGCATCTTCATTTCATGCTTAAATTTCATGTGTGAATATCTCGACAGTCTACACAAACATATACTTTTGGGTATATATATATATACTGTACAACAAAACAACAACACGTAGAACTGAATACCTGATGCACCAGTTTCATGGAAATATTCCTGTACCTCTACAAAAGTTGTCTCCATCTTTTTCCTGGTGGCGCACCCTTGAGTATATCGTAAGACACCTGAGCCACTCTTCCTCGTCCTAACAAAATGTGATTAAAAAGAGGACAGAAAGCAAACTTCAAACTACTGCTAACAAGAACTTGGGAGAAAAACACGCACATAATTCACAGTGTCATATAGCAAAACAAACAATCACAAACAACTGATAGTTTAGTGTCCAAAAATCATCGTGACGGTTGACACCTTTTTGTCCTGATGTTGGACAAGACACTACAGATCTCACTCCTCACATCAAGCTGGCAGCGCTGTTTTGTTTTCATGATTGTTGAAGCTGAAAATCCGTAGTATTACAAGAACAAATGCACTCAGTTTCACAACAGTTTTACTGCCCTCGTCATTTTTTTTTAAATCTTCCGAACCCCGCACCCCCCTTTCCCCCCCCCCTCTTCCCAATCGACAGTCGGCGTCTGTGGCTTAGACGTTGCGGACGCGCTTCGTATTGCCGGGGTGCACGGTTCGATCCCAGCTGCGGACGGTTTATCTTGCGTTGGTTTCGACAGTAGTACCAAGACCTCTCCTTTCAGAAAGCAATGGCAAACTACTGAAGTACAATTTGCCCAGAAAAACCACAACAGACAAAAAATCATGGGGCTGGTTCTGCAACCCCCTGTAAAGAATACGCAGCTAACTTTTCCACCCCCCCCCCCTCTTCCTCAGTCTCTCAAACACCCCCCCCCCCTCATTTTAGGTTGGAGACCACTGCTCTACAAGCTCTACCTGAAACGCTGCCACCGCCAGTCTCAACAGTACGTGCCCCAGACACACATGATTGCTGTTTGCATCAGTGTCACACCCAGCATAGAGAAACGGAGTAACAGTGTCACACCCAGCATAGAGAAACGGAGTGACATTGTCACACCCAGCATAGAGAAACGGAGTGACAGTGTCACACCCAGCATAGAGAAACGGAGTAACATTGTCACACCCAGCATAGAGAAACGAAGTGACATTGTCACACCCAGCATAGAGAAACTGAGTGACATTGTCACACCCAGCATAGAGAAACGGAGTAACATTGTCACACCCAGCATAGAGAAACAGAGAAACATTGTCACACCCAGCATAGAGAAACGGAGTGACAGTGTCACACCCAGCATAGAGAAACGGAGTGACATTGTCACATCCAGCATAAAGAAACGGAGTGACAGTGTCACACCCAGCATAGAGAAACGGAGTGACAGTATCACACCCAGCATAGAGAAACGGAGTGACAGTGTCACACCCAGCATAGAGAAACGGAGTGACATTGTCACACCCAGCATAGAGAAACGGAATGATAGTGTCACACCCAGCATAGAGAAACGGAGTGACATTGTCACACAAAGCATAGAGAAACGGAGTGACAGTGTCACACCTAGCATAGAGAAACGGAGTGACAGTGTCACACCCAGCATAGAGAAACGGAGTGACATTGTTACACCCAGCATAGAGAAACGGAGTGACAGTGTCACACCCAGCATAGAGAAACGGAGTGACATTGTGGGGCAGATAATTGTGTTGCTGTCATTCTTCAGTTTTATGTTTCTCTTCCGTCTCTTCCAGTGGCGAGGCCACATCATTTCGCATGTGTCAGTGGTTTTGACAAAAGGAAGCGTTAGCGGGTGAAGATTACATTAGAGAGGAAATCACGTGATATTTTCTGTCGCGTGGCTTTTGGCGGTATGGTATGCATGCGCAGCTAACATCAGTTTTAGTCATGAATAACTCTTACAAGTTACAGTTTCTGCACGAGTGTAGTAAGTATAAAGCGAGCAGTGCTTTTCTCTGCTTACACTTTAACGAACGTTACATGCTCGGCGAGATCTAAATTTATAATAAAAATAGTAGACAGTAGTAAAAATGCAGTTTTCTTGTGCAATATATATGCTATAAGCGTCGATTACAACCGTTCTTCTTCTTCTTCTTCTTCTTCTTCTTCTTCTTCTTCTTCTTCTTCTTCTTCTTCTTCTTCTTCTTCTTCTTCTTCTTCTTCTTCTTCTTCTTCTTCTTCTTCTTCTTCTTCTTCTTCTTCTTCTTCTTCTTCTTCTTCTTCTTCTCTTCTTCTTCTTTCTTCTTCTTCTTCTTCTTTTCTTTCTTCTTCTTCTTCTTCTTCTTCTTCTTCTTCTTCTTTCTTCTTCTTCTTCTTCTCCTTTTCTTTATCTTCTTCTTCTTCTTCTTCTTCTTCTTCTTCTTCTTCTTCTTCTTCTTCTCCTCCTTCTCCTCCTTCTTCTTCTTGCTTCTTCTCTTCTTCTTCTTTATCTTCTTCTTCTTCTTCTTCTTCTTCTTCTTCTTCTTCTTCTTCTTCTTCTTCGTCTTCTTCTGCGTTTATCTGAAGATGTAATTGCGTTGTGTCCGTTTACAGCATGGCTGCGATATTTGCACCTTTCGGCCAACACATCCGACTTCTGCGGGTAATTGTTGACCGGGCTAGCCTTCCAGGTACAACCGTTCAATGTACGCTTGTCATCTGGTCTGCCCCTCAAGTGGTATGTCTCACATAGACAAACAAGAGTCAGAATGTGAGATAACTTTGATGGTAATGTTGCTCTTTTGCCTGTCCCCAGTGGATGGAGGCCACAGTCAACATGGAGAGTTTCTCGGAGCCGCTGAGGACCTACTCGTCCTGTTACGTCAAGACCTCAAACGTGGACAACTGGCTCAGGCTGCCGTACGTGGAGAGGGGCGGGGCCAACTCACTGCACATCGACCTCACGTAAGTTCTGGAGGACCCCATAATCTACTCGACCTCATGTAGGTCTTAGTTACCTGAAAGAAAGAAAGGGGGAGAAGAGAGAAAACGAAAGAGAGAGGGAGAGAGAGGGAGAGAGAGGGAGAGAGAGAGAGATAAATATGGTCAGCTCGTTACATATATGTGTTACATCATTATGGGGGTGAAGCAGCCGTCGCTGTACATAGGGGATCTGACTTAAGTGGGGTCGAGACATTGGCTGCTACACAGTCAGACTTAGCGGTAGTAGGGAGGGGATAGTAACTTTACATATGCCGATGTCATTGAGGCCAGAGTGTGAGTGGTGATACATCTAATGATTTCACCTAAGTGGAGGAGGGAGGGACAGTGGTTGGCATTACAGATGTCACCTATGTGTGGCGAAATGAAAATCACACACATTAACACGCACGCGCGCGCGCGCGCGCACGCACACACACACACAGAGTTTTACAACCAGCTAGTTATATACAGATATGATGTTAGAATGTGAGAGTTATAAAACACATACAGACAATTTATTGTTTTTTGAAGAGAGAGAGAGAGAGAGAGAGAGAGAGAGAGAGAGAGAGAGAGAGAGAGAGAGAGAGAGAGAGAGAGAGAGAGAGGAGACGAACAAAGTCTTCACCTATACCTGTTGCAGGTTCACAATCTATCCCTGTTGGGGGATTACCATCTATCCCTGTTGGGGGATTACCATCTATCCCTGTTGGGGGATGACCATCTATCACTGTTGCAGGTTCACCATCTATCCCTGTTGGGGGAATCACCATCTATCCCTGTTGCAGGTTCACCATCTATCCCTGTTGAGGATCATCATCTATCCCTGTTGCAGGTTCACCATCTATCCCTGTTGGGGGATCACCATCTATCCCTGTTGCCAGTTGACCATCCATCCCTGCTGAAGGTTCACCATCCATTCCTTTTGCAGGTTTACCATCCATCCATGTTGTAGGTTCACCGTCTATCCTTATTGCAAGTTCACCATCCGTCCCTGTTGTAGATTCACCCCAATCCTTATTGCAGGTTCACCATCCATCCCTGTTGTAGGTTCACCTTCTTTCCCTGGTGTAGGTTCACCCTCTATCCTTATTGCAGGTTCACCATCCATCCCTGTTGTAGGTTCACCTTCTATTCCTGTTGTAGGTTCACCCTCTATCCTTATTGCAGGTTCACCATCCATCCATGTTGCAGGTTCACCCTCCATCCTTATTGCAGGTTTACCATTTATCCATGTTGCAGGTTCACCCTCTATCCTTATTGCAGGTTCACCATCCATCCCTGTTGTAGGTTCACCCTCTATCCTTATTGCAGGTTCACCATGAGAAAGTGCTCGCGAATCGTGGACTCCTCCAACCTACAGCAGTGCAAGGAGACCTTCAACCTCTTCTACTTCGAGGCCGACTCTGACTTCGCCAACACCATGAGGCCGTCCTGGGACGCCATCACCTACAACAAGGTGGACAAGATAGCCGCCGACAAGCTCTTCGTGGTCAGTCTCTGCATGTCTGCATACTTCTTCCAGTTTTCCGATACTGTCACATCTGTGGTTCTATGTCTGAGTCAGCTTGCCGTCGTGTTTCCTTAGTTGTTACTTTTTTGTTTATTTATTCATTCATCAGTTCATTCTTTTCTTTCTTTCACTCTTTATTGCTGTCATTTTGGTTCTTGCTATTTGTGTATCTAATTTTCTTTTTTTTTTTTGTGTGTGTGGTGGTTGTGTTGTTGTCCGTCTTCTATTATAGTGTTCTTATGCTAGGTAAAACGTATAACAAAAAGCTGAATTGCTTACACCATGCCCCTTCCCCTTTTCCCTCTTTTTCCATCTTTCTTCAAATCCAATCCATATGTCTGTCTGTCTGCCTGCCCGCCTGTCTGTCTGTCTACCTTTCTTCCACACCCTCTTTCTGTGTCTCTGTCTCAGGCTGTGTGACTGACTTATTTTGTGATTCAGTCTGTCCCCCAACCTTACATTTACTCTGTCACATAGTCTTCAGTTTGTTTCTTAGTCTGTCAGTCAGTCACTTAGTCTGTCAGTCACTAAGGTTGTCAGTCAGTCACTAAGTCTTTCAGTAAGTCACTAAGTCTATCAGTCAGTCACTAAGTCTCTCAGTCAGTCACTAGGACTCTCAGCCAGTCACTAAGTCTGTCAGTCAGTCACTAGGTCTGTCAGTCAGTCACTAGGACTCTCAGCCAGTCACTAAGTCTGTCAGTCAGTCACTAGGTCTGTCAGTCAGTCACTAAGTCTATCAGTAAGTCACTAGGTCTGTCAGTCAGTCACTAAGTCTGTCAGTAAGTCACTAAGTCTGTCAGTCAGTCACTAAGTCTGTCAGTCAGTCACTAAGTCTCTCAGTCAGTCACCAAGTCAATCAGTCAGTCACTAGGACTCTCAGCCAGTCACTAAGTCTGTCAGTCAGTCACTAGGTCTGTCAGTCAGTCAGTCACTGGTCTGTCAGAACTAAGGTTTTAAGTCAGTCACTAAGGTTGTCAGTCAGTCACTAAGTATATCAGTCAATCACTAAGTATATCAGTAAATCACTAAGTCTGTCAGTCACTAAGTTTGTCAGTCAGTCTCTAAGGATGTCAGACAGTCACTAAGGTTGTCAGTCAGTCATTAAGTGTATCAGTCAATCACTAAGTCTGTCAGTAAGTTACTAAGTCTGTCAGTCACTATGTTTGTCAGTCAGTCACTAAGTTTATGGGTCAGTCACTAAGTCTGTTGCTTCATTGCCCCTCCAGGACTACAGTGAAAAAGAATTCAACACAGAAACCCGACAGATCGCCCTTACCCCTCAGGGCCCCCGCGGTGTCTACTTCGCCATCCAAGACGAAGGAGCCTGTGTGACGCTGGTCAGGGTTCGAGTCTACTACATCACCTGCCCCAACATCACCAAGAACTTTGCCTTCTTTGAGGAGACCCCCACGGGCGACAAGACCTACTCCCTGGTGGAGAAGAAGGGCGTCTGTGTGGAGCACGCCACCCAACGCTCCCCTCTTTCCTACCCCTGCAGGAACGACGGGGTCTGGTTTGACGACCCCAAGGGCGAGTGTGTTTGCGATCCAGGGTATGAGGGCAACCAGGCCGGCACCCAGTGTACAGGTTAGTGACAGATGGGTGGTCGAGAGACACGCTGATACAGTTGTCTGTCACACATCATTGTGGTACACAGCTATACTTGTTACACATAATCCAGGCACACAGCTGTACTTGTCACACATTATCCGGTCACTGTCACGCATCATCCGGTCACACAATTATACTTGTCACACATCATCCGGTCACACATCTATGCTTGTCACACATCATCTGGACACAACTATACTTGTCACACATTATCTTGACAGATAACTAAACTTGCCACACATCATCCAGACACAAAACTGTACTTGTCACACATAAACCGGGCGCATACCTGTATTTTGCACACATCATCCATTCACATAATTGTACTTGTTACACATCACCTGACAGATAACTACTTGCCACACATCATCTGGAAACATAACTGGCCTTGTCACACATCATCCGGACACATAACTGTATTTTGCACACATCATCCGGACATATAATTGTACTTGTTACACATCACCTGACATATAACTACTTGCCACACATCATCCGAATACATCATTGGACACATAACTGGCCTTGTCACACATCATCCAGACACTTAACTGGCCTTGTCACACATCATCCGCACATATACCTGGCCTTGTCGCACATCATCCAGATACTTAACTGGCCTTGTCACACATCATCCGGACACATACCTGGCCTTGTCACACATCATTTGGACACATAACTGGCCTTGTCACACATCATCCAGACACTTAACTGACCTTGTCACACATCGTCTGGACACATACCTGACCTTGTCACACATCATCCAGAAACCTTACTGGCCTTGTCACACATCATCTGGACACATACCTGGCCTTGTCACACATCATCCAGACACAAAACTGTACTTGTCACATACATCATCTGGATAGATAACAACTTGTCACACATCATCCGGACACATAACTGGTCTTGTCACACATCATCCGGACACATAACGGGCCATGTCACACATCATCCGGACACATAATTAATTGGCCTTTAACACATCATCCAGACACATAATTGTATTTTGCTCATCTGGAACACATAACTGGATCACATAAACTGTATTCTGCTGGGGCTGTTTGTTTACCGTTGTTTGGTGTGAATTCCAACTGGCCTGGACGAGGAGAGAGAGAGAGAGAGGGAGAGAGAGAGAGCGATTCCTGTGCACACACATATACACACACATCTCTGATGTCCACACACACGATATGATGATGATGCTGAAGGAGAATTGTGATGTCTGTAGTAAAAGAGGTAAAATTAAAAATAAAAAAAATGGGGGGGGGGGGGGGGGGGGATGATTTGTCGACAAAAACAAGATAACGTTGTAACAAGTAAAAGCAAGTAAGCGGCGTCCGTGGCTAAGGCGTTGCGAAACTGACTCGTAATCCAACGTACCGCGATCGAAACCCACTGCGGGCTGCGTGGATTTTTATCGTGGTATGGGACGTCGCAGGTCGACCCAGCCTCAAATGGGTACAAGGATAGATGTCCTGGGAAAGTAAAGACAGCCGTCTGTAAATATGGGCGCTCTTTCCATATGCCCGATACGCCTAAAAGGCATGGAAAGGGATCTTTCTTTGGAGTTGTAACAAGTGTTGGGTGTGGCGACGATGTTGAGCTATGCATGTTGATGACACAACCGTGTAAACTTAATACAGAAAGAGGGTGTTGTTGTTTTTGTTGTTCGGTTTTGAGGTTTTGAAACAACGGATCAACATCATGGCACACGGGTAGTAAACCCATGAGTGCTCCGTTATTCTTCTACCTCAAATCTGAGTCCAAAGAAGCTGAGCACAGTGCACAGGCTCTGTAGCACCAGTGAGGATCCTGAAATACTCTGGGTAGATTTTTAACTCTAATTTTTGTCCGGGCAGCGCCGTTTAGCTACTCTTTTCGATTTCTAACTGGCAAGGGTTTTTTTTACTTGCGCAGCTATGCACACGGCCTTCTGATCTCACTACCCAGGGACCAAGGGGGAATTACTAGAAGTCCAAGTTCATGTACAAAAATCCCAGATCAGGGAGTAGCCAGGGCCTGAGGCTACAAGTGGACCACACGCACACATGCCATACACACATAGGCTATACACCCAGTGAGGTGAACCCGGAACCTCTAGCACTCGAGGCGGACACCATGCCTCGAGACCACGCAGCCCCATTGCTTTTGTTGTTTGATGAGGATGAAATTATACACATCGTAGTCCATTTCGAAAGTGGTGCCCAGCTAAACAAATCTGTAACAATTCGGGTGTCAATCTGTAAATTTTGGTCTGCCCCTATTAATAATCATGTTGATGTTGCAATTGTGTTTAAAGAAACATCTGGTTTTCATTTTGCTACATTCGCGGTATATGAAAAAAAAAAAAAAACACACAATCACCAATTCAAAGCAGACAGTCAAGAAATTCGCCGCTTAAAGAAAACAGCAGCATCTGCGCAATTGTAAATTATAAGATGAAAAAACAAAAAACAAAACGTGGGAAATCTAAGGCCACACACACAGACACGCGCACGCACGCACATACACACTACACACACACACACACACACACACACACACACACACACACACACAAAACGTGTGGATCCATACAGGAATGTTTGAGATATTTGTTTAAGTGTGAGGGCAGGACTTTTAAAACTCCATGTATTAATTATTAAATAAGAAAACAGGACGCTGAGATTAACCATATCGCTAGGTTTTTTTTGGGGGGGGGGGGGGGGGGGGGGGCGGGGATGAAAAGGTGGTGAGGGGAGGGTTGCTGCTGTGAATGTTTCTGCGTATACTGTGTTTGTCTGAGACTATCATGTATGGTCAAATCTGCCTCTGTGTCCAGCGTGTCCATCTGGCGAGTACAAGTGGTCTGAAGGCATGGGCCCCTGTCAGACCTGCCCCGGGTACAGCTACTCCAACGGGGGCGCCGCCGAGTGCACGTGCCAGCAGAATTACTTCAGAAGTGCCAAGGATGCCAAGTCTGCGCCATGCACACGTGAGTTGATCGGTGCTTCTCCCCGCTGTGTGCCCGCGAGATTACGTGTCACTGTTGTCTATTGTGTTTCTTCAGCACGCGTATCCCTCTCTCGGCCAATCCCACACTTGTGTCTGTGTGCATGTTTGTGGTGTATGTGTGTGGTGTATGTGTGTGGTGTATGTGTGCATGTTTGTGGTGTATGTGTGCATGTTTGTGGTGTATGTGTGCATGTTTGTGGTGTATGTGTGCATGTTTTTGGTGTCTCTGTGCATGTTTGTGGTGTCTGTGTGCATGTGTGTGGTGTATGTGTGCATGTTTGTGGTGTATGTGTGCATGTTTGTGGTGTATGTGTGCATGTTTGTGGTGTCTATGTGCATGTTTGTGGTGTATGTGTGCATGTTTGTGGTGTATGTGTGCATGTTTGTGGTGTATGTGTGCATGTTTGTGGTGTATGTGTGCATGTTTGTGGTGTATGTGTGCATGTTTGTGGTGTATGTGTGCATATTTGTGGTGTATGTGTGCATATTTGTGGTGTATGTGTGCATGTGTGTGGTGTATGTGTGCATGTTTTTGGTGTCTATGTGCATGTTTGTGGTGTGTGTGTGCATGTTTGTGGTGTATGTGTGCATGTTTGTGGTGTATGTGTGCATGATTGGGGTGTATGTGTGCATGTTTGGGGTGTATGTGTGCATGTTTGTGGTGTCTATGTGAATGTTTGTGGTGTATGTGTGCATGTTTTTGGTGTCTATGTGCATGTTTGTGGTGTATGTGTGCATGTTTGTGGTGTATGTGTGCATGTTTGTTAGTGTATGTGTGCATGTTTGTGGTGTATGTGTGCATGTTTGTGGTGTATGTGTGCATGTTTGTGGTGTATGTGTGCTAGTTTGTGGTGTCTGTGTGCATGTTTGTGGTGTCTGTGTGCATGTTTGTGGTGTCTGTGTGCATGTTTGGGGTGTATGTGTGCATGTTTGTGGTGTAAGTATTTATGGTATGTGTTCGTGTATGTGAATTTTGCGTGGATGTGAATTTCGCGTTTGCGTGTATGTTATGTCTGCGTGTGGTCCACTTGCAGCCTCAAGGCTATGGCTACTCCCTGACACTGAGGGACAGACACGGAACTAACTGAGGTAATGTTAGCTGGGCCCCGGATGGGATGAGACTCAATTATATCCGTCTACAACGTGGCTCTCAACCTTTTTAATGCCTCAACCCTTTAAAACAGTTCCTCATGTTGTGGCGGCCTCCAACCATACAATTATTTTCGTTGCTTCTTCATAACTTCAGTCAATATGTGTTTTCCGATGGTCTTTGGAGACACCGGTGAAAGAGTCATCCCACACAGAAAAGGGTCGCCACCCACTGGTTGAGAACCGCTGATCTACAAGCTACAGCCCGGTGGCTCTCAGAACATGTGTTATGGACACCTTAGTTATTATGAAAGCCCGTTCTCAGAGAATCACACTCCCCGTGTGGGTTCCCGGGCGCTGTTGTGGAGAAAACCCACTGCCTATCCAAAACTACCTATCGTAAGAGGCGACTAATTGGAAGCTTCCTTCCAAGTCGTAATGCGTCTGCCCGTGCGGCAAGGAACAACCAACTGCACACAGAGAAGCCAGTAAAACTGTTATACACGCAAAACTAAGACCGGCATAAAGCCAAGTTCCAAATGAAGGAGCAACCAGGGCTTTCCGCCAGTAAACAAAAAGAAGAAGAAGAAGAAGAGGAAGAAAGAGAAGAAGAAGAACAAGAACAAGAAGAAGAAGAAGTAAAAGAAGGAAAAGAAAAAGGAGAAGATAACACCATAGTGACAGCGATCAGGTTACGTGCCATCAGGCTCTCTCTGTCTGTCTGTCTGTCTGTCTGTCTGTCTGTCTCTCTCTCTCTCTCTCTCTCTCTCTCTCTCTCTCTCTCTCTCTCATTCTCTCTCTCGCTCGCTCGCTCGCTTGCTCTTGTTGTCAAGCACAACAATCACTTCTCAGACACCCAGACTACGACGTTTCCATAGACAGGACAGTCTGCAGCAAACATATGGAAGACCCCAAACTGAATATAGACTCTCCACAAATTGTCAATGCCAGAGGAAAGTCCTGTTTTGTCGCCGACCTCTGGACTTTGGTCGTTTTGCGTGCACGTCCGATTTACAAATATGTCTTATTTATTTACAGACGTTGGTTCCTTACCTCTTAGGGAGATTGTCTCCGACTTCTACGGAAACACCACTAGTTAGTCGCCTTGTACGACATACTTGTTAGCGGACAGTAGCGTCTGCCCCTTCCCCCCCTCCCCTCCCCGTACCTCGACCTCTCACTCTAATTTTGCACTGGAACACACACACAGGGAAGGCACCAAATAATTCTACAATTGTATACTAATATAAGTGGGCGGATTTTTCTGCATCAGTGTGCCTTCATCCAGGAAGAGAAGAACTATTGCTGACACACGAAGACAACTCTTGAGATACCTACCGACCTTTCTCCACCAGCTTCACCTCATTCAATTAAAGAGAACCATCGTCCACGCCGGAAGTAGGAGATACATGAAGATAAATGGGCCGGTCTTTTCCCACCAGCTTCGCGTCAGCCAGTTAAAGAGAACCATGGCCCATACCGGAAGACAAATGTGATGGGACTCAGGTCATAGTTAGTACATCGCAGGCAGTGGCACGGGTACAGACATGACCAAACGACCGACTATCTCTCCCAGGAGTCATTGATCAGATCCTACCCTGTATCTTAGAGTCACACGCCGACTTCACGGCCGTCTTTTATCAGCGAGTGTTTTAGTGCGTGGAAATCAGGGTTGTCAGGTTGAGTGGCAGGCGGCAGACAACAACCCGAGCCATGGTTGGTACCTGTCAGCGATAGCCGGGTGGTTGCCATTTAGTCCCTTTCTCAGCCTGGCAGGCTAGTTTTAGGAGAGGTAGCACTTCCGTCTGGAGCTGCACCAGCTTCCGGTCTGAATTCTATTGCCGAGTTTTCTGGAATACACAAATCAATGGATATTCCACTCTTCTCAAATCACTGCGTGGCAACCCTGGTAGCTGAAAACTTACCTTTATAGGTTCGAATCCAAGTTAAGGCAGATGTGGTTGGCTCCAAGATTGACCAGGAAATGCCAGGGAAAGTAAAGGCATGCGTTATTCTATTCGTCACATCGCTTGTTGAGCGCTCTTAGGTCTGTAATAAATACGGAACTGATACAATATTCTCACTAGGTCCCCGACCAGCTTTGCAACCAGCATCCCCGAAGGGGGAGCTTTAGGTTATAATTGTGACTAGATTATGTGCGCCATATAAGATGGCTTAACATTGCACGCCACCAATAGCCCTGAAAAAGACTCCTGTAGATACGATCAAAGGAGACAGGCCCAAATACTGTCCCGACCGGCGACGAAGTCGTCTACCGGCTCGCCAGTGGGTGACCCGGTCGCGATGAGGCTGCAGAGAGTGGACTTTTGATGGACTTACTGCTCCCTGCGAAGTCCATTGAGTGCCAAGTTGTCTCGGACAGGGACTGAATATGAAGTTACGTGTACGAACTTCGCACGAACTTCGCGCTATCAACATCCCTCTCTGTGTGGAATGAGTCAAGAATGTGTCGTGGATTCATTCTGGTTTGGCACAATCTCTAGTCATAAATTGCTCTCAATTAACTGTCAATGTTTGTAAAATTTTCTGTAAATTGAAAATCTCTATTTCTACAAATTGCTCTCAATTAAGGATCTTTATTTCTAATTCTAAACCTTGCTGTAAATTGAAAATTTCTATTTCAACAAATTGCTCTCAATTAAGGATCTTTATTTCTAATTCTAAACCTTGCTGTAAATTGAAAATCTCTATTTCTACAAATTGCTCTCAATTAAGGATCTTTATTTCTAATTCTAAACCTTGCTGTAAATTGAAAATCTCTATTTCTACAAATTGCTCTCAATTAAGGATCTTTATTTCTAATTCTAAACCTTGCTGTAAATTGAAAATCTCTATTTCTACAAATTGCTCTCAATTAAGGATCTTTATTTCTAATTCTAAACCTTGCTGTAAATTGAAAATCTCTATTTCTACAAATTGCTCTCAATTAAGGATCTTTATTTCTAATTCTAAACCTTGCTGTAAATTGAAAATCTCTATTTCTACAAATTGCTCTGATTGAGGACATGTATTTCTAGAAACTGCTCTAAATTGAGAAGCTGTATTTCTGGAAATTGCTCTAAATAGAATGTCTGTAATTTACAGAGCCGCCATCAGCACCTCTGAACCCTTCCATCGAGACCCAGGGGTCCACATATGTGACGTTGACCTGGAACCCACCCAGCAACCTGGGGGGACGCACAGACCTCAATTATCGAATACTGTGTCAGAAGTGTAGCAATGACGTCATGTACGCTCCTGGTTGGCGGGGGTTTAACACCTCGAGGTGAGTTCATTCATGTCCGGTATATGTTTGTCCCATGCATTTATCTATCTATCTATCTATCTATCTATCTATCTATCTATCTATCTATCTATCTATCTATCTATCTATCTATCTATCTATCTATCTATCTATCTATCTATCTATCTATCTATCTGTCTGTCTGTCTGTCTGTCTGTCTGTCTGTCTGTCTGTCTGTCTGTCTGTCTGTCTGTCTGTCTGTCTGTCTGTCTGTCTGTCTGTCTGTCTGTCTGTCTGTCTGTCTGTCTGTCTGTCTGTCTGTCTGTCTGTCTGTCTGTCTGTCTGTCTGTCTGTCTGTCTGTCTGTCTGTCTGTCTGTCTGTCTGCTTGCTTACCTGTCTGTCTGTCTGTTTAATCTATATATCCCATCCATCCATCCTCCACCCATCTCTCTATTCAACCATTGATTCATTTATATATATCTTTATCTACATGTCTTTCTCTCAGCCTGTCTTGTTTTTCTATGTAGACTCAAATAAAAATCTTACTTTGTGACAGTAAAATTGTGGAAAGACAGATGTATACTTATTCACATGCATTAGTGTGTGTGTATGTATGTTTGTGCGCCTTTATGTATGTATGTAAGTGTTTTCTTCTCAGAGTTTGCCGCACCAGGCTCCCTGATTATTGCAGACAGATGCTCAGACCTTGATGTTTGTTGCCTAACACCCCTGCTCTCTCACTCCCTTTCTGCTGCCTCTGCTCACACCTGTCCCTCACGCTACTGCCTCTCTCCTAATCTAACACCCAGCACAAACAACCTCTGGCCGGGCATCAGCTGCGCCTGGAGTAGACTGTTATTCTTCTCACTCCTCGGTAGTCTCAAAAAAAAACATCACCTCCCTGCCTATTTGGTTGTTCTAACGCAATGAGAGCACCTGTAGGCCTGTTCCCGATCCTTGCTGGCTCCAAGGAAAACATCAGCTGCCCGCGTACATCGTTGTTCTAAGGAAATGGGAGCAGCTCTGGGCTTGGTTCACAGACATGTCTCTGTAGCCCCGTCCTTATCCAGTTCTAGTTCCAGACAACAGATGTGCACGCAACACTCAGGTTCTGGAACAAGACTACAGTCCAGAGTGGGACAGACAACCCGAACTTTCCGATAGAGTTTGCAACCGGTGAACGCGAAGAAGAAGAAGAAAAAGTTCCAGAGTGTAGATGTTGACGTGGGGACACGGTGTTCAGTAAGCGTAAGCCAGTTTGCTTATGTCTGTCTGGGTGTGGGACCAACCAGCCGCATAGAACAGGCGAATGGCATAAGGTATATAGAACAGTGTTTCCCAACCTTTTAACTCCCGTGCCCTCCGAAACGGGGACCATTTTGTGGTTTCGCGGTCCGTCTAACAGCTAACTGAATACAGAAACAAAAACCAAATGTAGCTGGGAGTTACTTTGTTACATTCGATGTCACGAAGTGACAGTTTTCATTTAATGCAACATTTACTGCTGCTTAGATGTCGGACAATCGTATAGATGTGGTTGGAGAGTTGTTGCCGAGAGAGTATTTACCACACTGCAATACTGAAGAAAAACAACTAGCTACCTCACATGATTGGGCAGCCATTGTTTGGCGGCCCATCGGGACTTTTCAGCGGCCCATCGGGACTTTTCAGCGGCCCATCGGGACTTTTCAGCGGCCCATCGGGACTTTTCAGCGGCCCATCGGGACTTTTCAGCGGCCCATCGGGACTTTTCAGCGGCCCATCGGGACTTTTCAGCGGCCCATCGGGACTTTTCATCGGCCCATCAGGACTTTTCATCGGCCCATCAGGACTTTTCATCGGCCCATCGGGACTTTTCATCGGCCCATCGGGACTTTTCAGCGGCCCATCGGGACTTTTCATCGGCCCATCAGGACTTTTCATCGGCCCATCAGGACTTTTCATCGGCCCATCAGGACTTTTCATCGGCCCATCGGGACTTTTCATCGGCCCATCGGGACTTTTCATCGGCCCGTCGGGACTTTTCATCGGCCCATCAGGACTTTTCATCGGCCCATCGGGACTTTTCATCGGCCCATCGGGACTTTTCAGCGGCCCATAGGGACTTTTCAGCTTCCCATTGGGACTTTTTAGCAGCCCATAAGTTGAAGAACAATGAAATAGACGATGTCTGATGTGTGTTTGATATCTGCGTTTGGCAACGCGACCAGTGTGGGTGTCAGTTCAAACTGTATGGGTGTCAATCATGACTTGTGTGGGTGTCAGCTTGAATTGTGTGGGTGTCAGCTTGAAAATTGTAGGTGTCAGTCATTGTTTGTGTTAGTTCCACCTATGCGGGTGCCAGTCATGACTTATGTATGTGTCAATCATTGTTTGTGTTAGTTCCACATATGTGGGTGCCAGTAATGACTTTTATGGGTGTCAGTTATGTATGACTTGTGTGGGTGTCAGTCATAACTTGTTTGGATGTCAATAATAACTTGTGTGGATGTCCGTCATCAACTGTATGGGTGTCAGTCATTGTTTGTGTTAGTTCCACCTATGTGGGTGCCAGTATTGACTTGTATGGTTGTCAATTATGACTTGTGTGGGTGTCAGTCATGACTTATTATGAGTGACACTCATGACTTGTGTGGGTGTCAGTCATGACTTTTGTGGGTGTCAATTGTGTCTTGTCATGACTGTTGTGGGTGTCAGTCATGACTTGTGTGGGTTTCAGTTATGACGTGTGGTTGTCAGTCATGACTTGTGGAGGGTAAATTATGACGTGTGGTTGTCAGTCATGACTTGTGTGGGTCTCAATTAGGACCTGTGTGGGTGTCAGTTATGACTTGTATAGGTGTCAATCATGTCCTATGTGGGTGTCGATCATTGCCTGTATGTTCTGCGACGGTTAGAGTTTCTGAAAGTGGACCTATTGTTGGCAGGGTGACCTTAAACAGCCTGGACCCAGGTAAGACCTACGAGATCATCATATTTGCAGAGAACGGGGTCACCAACAGCAGCGGTCAGCCGGCCCAGTCTGCTTCTGTCCATGTGGTCACACAGTCTATAGGTGAGTGAGACACCAACCACCCTCACACACACACAAACACACTCTCACACCAGCGGTCAGCAACATTGACGCCACAGATGACGCTACCAGCGCAGATGACAGTAACACCACAGATGATGCTACCAGCACAGATGACAAACACCATATATGACAGTAACACCACAGATGATGGCACTAGCACATATGACAGTAACACCACAGATGTTGGTACCAGCACAGATGACAGAAACACCATATATGACAGTAACACCACAGATGTTGGTACCAGCACAGATGACAGAAACACTATATATGACAGTAACACCACAGATGATGGTACCAGCACAGATGACAGAAACACCATATATGACAGTAACACCACAGATGATGGTACCAGCACAGATGACAAAAACACCATATATGACAGTAACACCACAGATGATGCTACCAGCACAGATGACAGAAACACCATATATGACAGTAACACCACAGATGATGGCACTAGCACATATGACAGTAACACCACAGATGTTGGTACCAGCACAGATGACAGAAACACCATATATGATAGTAACACCACAGATGTTGGTACCAGCACAGATGACAGAAACACCATATATGACAGTAACACCACAGATGTTGGTACCAGCACAGATGACAGAAACACCATATATGACAGTAACACCACAGATGTTGGTACCAGCACAGATGACAGAAACACCATATATGACAGTAACACCACAGATGATGGTACAGCACAGATGACAGAAAATATATATGACAGTAACACCACAGATGATGGTACCAGCACAGATGACAAAAACACCATATATGACAGTAACACTACAGATGATGGTACCAGCACAGATGACAGAAATACCATATATGACAGTAACACCACAGATGATGGTACCAGCACAGATGACAAAAACACCATATATGACAGTAACACTACAGATGATGGTACCAGCACAGCTGACAGTAACACCACAGATGACGGTACCAGCACAGCTGACAGTAACACCACAGATGACGGTACCAGCACAGCTGACAGTAACACCACAGATGACGGTACCAGCACAGCTGACAGTAACACCACAGATGACAGTACCAGCACAGCTGACAGTAACACCACAGATGACAGTAACACTAGAAATAACAGACGCCATTTAGCCCGAGACTGACGTTAAGACGGACACCGACAGTAATCAAACAACGCGAGACTGATGTTTGAACTCCGGCCCCCTCTCAGGGAAGGTGACAGGACTGCGCAAGCTGAGCATGGGGCCCAAGTATCTGAGCATCGGCTGGGAGGTGCCGCAGAGCATCAAGGGCAAGGTGCAGCAGTTCAACGTGCGCTACTACCCGCGGACCGAGGACAGCGCGGCCAGCAGCAAGTTCACTACCGCCCAGAACCTGACGCTGACCCAGTTCATGCTGGAGACCGAGTACATCTTCATGGTGAGTCCGGTTGTTTGTCCGCACGTCTGTCCGCCTCTCTGTTACCTAGTGTCAGAGTGTATTTTTGCTCATGTGCGCGCGTGTGTGTATGTATATATGTGTGTATGTGCAAAGTCTCAGTAGCTTGATGGTGTGTGCATCCATGATCTTGTGTAGTGACTATGATATGTTGGGTACCTAAAGGGGAATAACCCCCCCCCCCCCCCCCCAAGCCACGCCCTCTCTTCGTTTCCTCTTGTTCCTGAGCTTGGAGATGGCAAAGGCACTGGCTTCATACTTCCCGCGGAAAGGGCACTTTGGTGGCTGATGTCGCCATGTGGGTTTCTGTGGCATCGTTGTAGTGGGGAAAACCAATGGACTCACTGCCCGCCTCCCCGTAAAGAATGTCTTCCCGAAGAGCGAGAAACCATCAGCCTACTTACATATAAGCTAGATCTGTAAAACGGATGTGCATGCAACCCCCAAATTATGAAACAAGCCACAAATCCAGAAGTGGACGAACAACCAGAACTTACCGCCCAGTGCCATGTAGTGGAATTTGCATGTTTTCACAAGCTGTTCTTTTCCTCCGTACAAGGAGTTCCACTTGTCTGGTCTCAGAGGGAGTAGGTGGAAAGTCCTGAATGTCTGTGTCTCGGGAACTTTCGAGCTAACATCACACGTGACCAACAGACCAGTTAGTTAGCGAACCAAGCTGCTTTTTAACTCATGCAATCTCCTACTCTCTTCCTTGGTATCCTGTCATCTGACTCCTCTCTACCTTTTTAAATTCCCGCCTTCACTTCTCTGACCACACATCATTTGTCTTCCGGCCCTTCACTAGCTCCGCTAACCTAATGAGTTCTGCTGCTCCACGTAACCCTGGCGGTGAATCTAGGTCACGTATGATCCACTCAACCAGTGGTTACTAACCATGGTTGTCACCGATGATTGACAGCCCAGTCCGTGGACCCACATCCCGTCACTGACTTATGCTTTTTCCTTAATTGTCTGGACTGATAGAGCGCCCGTCTGTGTGTCTTAGTCTGTCCTTATTAAAGAATATCACACGGCACAACCTTAAGAGGGAAATGGAAGAGAAATCAAAATACGTTATTATTGCTGGCGCAACTAACACAATTTTTAACACACAGTGGCTTTACCTTTGTCTACGAAGGCAAATCTAATCAGAACTTTTTTTTTTTTTTTTGGTGGTAATTGTCATTCCTCACTGTTTATTGTTAATTTTTTGAGATCTTCATCGCACATCGGATATTACCAAAGTGCTCCGATCTTCTCCTGAGTATGTCTCAAAGTGTTTTTTGGCTACCAACTGCCATTCAGTTCTGATTGATGTGTGGCTCCTGCTCCTGTCTCGCGGCTCCAAATTTTTGCAAGCTTCCTGTTACAAGGTCGGCTCTGTGGCTAAGTCGATGCGAACGCTTCGTAATGCCGGGATGCCGGGTTGGATCCCAGCTGCGGGCCATGGGCCTTGCGTTGGTTTCGACAGTTGTATCAAGAAAGCCGACCGTCCAATAAGCAATGGCAAACTACTAGACGTAAATTTGCCTAGAAAATTGGTTCTGCAACGTCCTGTTAAGGACACGCAACTAACCTTTTTGTTACCAGTGTAAAACATAGAGCCTTACTACAACTAATGAACACAGCATGATTACTACACAGATAAGTCTTGGAAGAGCTATAAGGGCAACAAGAAGAGATAAAGTGAAAAGAAAGACATTAGAAGGCTAGGACTGAAACCACTTATACAGTTTTCATCAAAGAGCAACAGATAAAATGGTTTGGTCATCTGACGAGAATGCCTTGGAACCAACAGACACAGAGAGCGACGCTAGAGAAATATGACACGAATACGCAGCACAACGAAGATCATGCACAATATGGAACAGCAGCATCAAGAGAAAACGTAAAGACTCACGCAGTGCACTGATAACAGAAAAGATTCCTCCTGATGAAGTAACTAACCGAAGGAACAGTATAAGCAGCAGCAGCAGCAGTAGTAGTAGTAGTAGTAGCAGTAGTAGCAGCAGCAGTGGTGGTAGTAGTAGTAGCAGCAGCAGTAGTAGTAGTAGTAGTAGTAGTAGTAGTAGTAGTAGTAGTAGTAGTAGTAGCAGCAGCAGTGGTGGTAGTAGTAGTAGCAGCAGCAGCAGCAGCAGCAGTAGTAGTAGTAGTAGTAGTAGTAGTGGTGGTGGTGGTGGTGGTGGTGGTGGTGGTGGTGGTGGTGGTGGCGGCGGCGGCAGCAGCAGCAGCAGCAGTAGTAGTAGTAGTAGCAGCAGCAGCAGCAGCAGCAGCAGCAGCAGCAGCAGTAGTAGTAGTAGTAGTAGTAGTAGTAGTAGTAGTAGCAGCAGCAGCAGTAGTAGTAGTAGTAGTAGCAGCAGCAGCAGCAGCAGCAGCAGTAGCAGTAAAAGAAGAAGAAGATCCAGTGTGACAACGGTCAGTCACATGTGTTTAAGGGGGCGGTGTCTTCAGCCAACTGAATGTTGGCCAACTTCATAGGTGCAGTGGACCAGGGAAGACTAATAAGCAGAAAATGGGGAAGGCGGGGGTGACAGTGGGGAAAAAGGTAAGAGGGTTGCCGAACGGTGGTGCTGACGGGGACGAAAAGGGTGACGTGGTGGTGGTAGCTAGGAACGAGAGCTTTCTTTGAAGTGGAGTGCATACTGACAGTTCTAGAAAAACATAAATACAAATGACAACATGTGAGATAGATGTGTAAGAAGTGACGGCGGGAAAAACACGGAGAGACCAACGAAGAACTAAGAACAACAGTAGGCACAACACCGATGCATGATTTGATAGAACATTAGAGAATCACAGATTAAGTCATCTAGTCAGAATGGAACAAAAGCAGCCAGCAGTTGAAGCGTACTACCTCAGAAAAGCAATTGACAAAGTGAGAGACTGACTGAGAAAGAGATGGGTGAAAGGAGTATAAGAGAGACAACAGAAACGCAGTATGCATTAACACAAGCTACGTAACTAGCAAAAGACAGGAAACTACATATAGCTGCTCCCTGCGACGAATACGACAAAAGAAGAAGACTTACTGACTCACTAACACAGTAGCTGACGTTCTTGTGTCGCATGTCGCTATCTTGAGAACCAGTGCGTAGTAGTAGCATTTCTATGCCTCTTCTGACCAATTTGAGAATCAGTAAAGTATTGATATCGGCATCTATCTTGTCCCTGGTGGTATAAATACACGGAACCGTGCATGTCCCACATGTTGATACTAGAACATTCACCAGTCCCTGCTGCTCACAGACCCCCGTGTTGACAGAGCGGATTTGCTCTGCCCGGACAAGGTTGTCCCCTGCCTAGGCAACCACTAATGACATTTGTGATTCCATCTTGACCCGGATTTTGTCCTGGTTTAATCAAACACTGTCATTTTAATGTTGTAGGTCCGCCTAGAAGCTGGTCATTGTTGTCGCCTGAGCCATTTTCGTTAGGCCGTTGTTGTTTAGCTGCTTCTGATTCTCGTGTGTGGCTTCTGTAGCTATGTGATGGTTAGCAGGTTTACTAGGTTCAGCCAACGACAGAGCTGCTGCAGGATGGTCTCGCTGTGATGGCTCCACGTGCACCGGAACACTATAGTCATGTTTTGAACGTGCACGCTTGTCTCTATCTTGCCTGTTAGACCTTAGTGCAGGGTTATTCAGCCAGCGGCCCTTGGCCAGACCTGGCCCTCAGAAGCCTAGCAAATGGCCCGCGGATCACCTGGCAATTGCATTGTGTTAATAATAGTATCAATAATCTGTTTATGCTAGAGATCAGGCCTATCGTCAGCGACGATCCCTGGGTTTGTAGAGATCAGGCCTATGGCCCGCGACGATCCCTGGTTTAGAGACTCTAGATCAGGCCTCTGGCCCGCAACGATCCCTGTGTTAGAGAAATCAGGACTCTGGCCCGCGATGATCCCTGAGTTAGAGAGATCAGGCCTGTAGCCAGCGACGATCCCGTGTTAGAGAGATCAGGCCTCTGGCCCGCGATAATCTCTGGGTTAGAAAGATCAGGCCTCTGGCCCGTAACGATCCCGTGTTAGAGAGATCAGGCCTCTGGCCCTCGATTATCCCGTGTTAGAGAGATCAGGTCTCTGGCCCGCAATTATCCCGTGTTAGAGAGATCAGGCCTCTGGCCCGCGACGATCCCATATTAGAGAGATCAGGCCTTTGGCCCGCGACGATCCTGTGTTAGAGAGATCAGGCCTCTGGCCCGCGACAATCCTGTGTTAGAGAGATCAGGCCTCTGGCCCGCGATGATCTCTGGGTTAGAGAGATCAGGCCTCTGGCCCGTAACGATCCCATGCTAGAGAGATCAGGCCTCTGGCCCGTAACGATCCCATGTTAGAGAGATCAGGTCTCTGGCCCGCGATTATCCCGTGTTAGAGAGATCAGGCCTCTGGCCCGCGACGATCTCATGTTAGAGAGATCAGGCCTTTTGCCCGCGACGATCCTGTGTTAGAGAGATCAGGACTCTGGCCCGCGACGATCCCGTGTTAGAGAGATCAGGCCTTTGGCCCGCGACGATCCTGTGTTAGAGAGATCAGGCCTCTGGCCCGCGACAATCCCGTGTTAGAGAGATCAGGCCTCTGGCCCGCGAATTTCCCCGGGCTAGAGAGATCAGGCCTCTGGCCCGTGACGATCCCTGTGTTAGGGAGATCAGGCCTCTTGGAACTGTTGATGAGCATATCCCTTAACACTGTTGTACTGGAACCTCTTCCTTTAGGACTCATGGTAAACGTAGCTTCTTGTCACTACGGTTCTGCGACCACTTCTTATCACTGCGGTACTGCGACCACTTCTTATCACTGCGGTACTGCGACCACTTCTTATCACTGCGGTACTGCGACCACTTCTTATCACTGCGGTACTGCGACCACTTCTTATCACTGCGGTACTGCGACCACTTCTTATCGAGGCGCTGACGGGCTACTTCTTTTATACGATAAAATGCAAGCGACGCAAGTGGACAAAAACGGAATTAGTGAAAATAAGCAG